GGGACTTTCAAAAGGGACTGCATGCCCTCCTACCCAACTGGAACCCAAATACCCTCCCCCACACCAAGGGCCTCGGCACCATTTTCGCCAGCTGGCAAAGGATCCCATGGTGTGCAGCCACCAGGCTTCTGGCCACCAAGGGAGACCTGCAGTGTGGGGAGTGGGTGTGAACTGCCGTTAGCCCGAGTCTGGGCCCCACAAAAAACCGCCACCCTGTCTTCCCAGTCGGGAGGGAAGGAAACAGACTCCTAACAACCAGGGGCCAGAGTGGCCCCAGAAACTCGGGCCCCATCAGCATTATGGGGCCAGCCACACGTGCGCCCGGCTGCTCTCCTCGGCCCTGCGAGCTCTCAGGAACACAAAGGAAAAAGTGGAGCACAAGCACCATGCAGTAACGGACCATCCTTCTTGGCCGGTTCATGACGGAGCACCGAGAAAGTCCAAGCAAAGCAACTTAAAAACTCTGGCAACCAGCGAAGGTCTCAGCACAGTGGCCATTTCCAGGAGGAGTGTTTTAAAAAGAAGAGTGTTCCTTCATCCCAGCACTGATCAGCGTGAAATACGATGGGTACAGAGATCCTGTTCACGGTTCAACAAAACCCAGCAACCAACACACAGTAAAGGGCATTTTAAACTTAGAAATAGCCTAAATGTGCTCAACTTCAGAAAGCCTGGGACCCGCAGGAGGACGACCTTCTAGCTGCCGGGTCACAGGGTAGTCCGAATGGACTGGAAGTTTCCACGTATGCCATAGAAGGAGGCGCAGACGCAGGCTTATCAACGGGGAAAGGGTACAGCAGTAACACGACACCAAGGCCGGAAACTGCCGGAAAGGAAGCTATTGATGAATCTGACCACACAAAAATTAAACACATCCGTACAAAAAAACCCCTAGCAGCGTTGCAAGATAAATGGCAAACGTGCGTGGGGGGGGGCGGGGGGGGGCACCGTGCCAGGGTACGGCTTTGTAAACCCGGAACGGGGCAAAGACACGGGGCCACCACGGTCCCAGCAGGAGGCAGGGGCTCGGGTGGGTGCCAGCGATCCCCCAGAGACAGATGCCCCGATGTGAGGAGCAAAGAGATGGTCAATCCCACCAGCAGTCAGAGAAACTCAAAGCATCAATACAATCCTTTCACCTTTCAGACTGTCAGAAATCCGAAACATCGCCAGCAGCCAAAGCTGGTGAGGACTCAGGGAAAGAGGACTTCTGAGCGTGGCCAGAACAAGCAACGGCCGTGCGTCCCGGCCGCTCTGTGCTCTGCCGTCCTCGTCTCTCTCCCGTCTGCGGCCGGTCCCCCACCTGCCCTTCGTCTGCGTACCCCGCACACAGCAGCCACATCTTGGGCGGCTGCCATGGAAGGCACACCCAGGACAGCAGCTGTGCACAGAGGGACCGTTCCTATGGACCCCAGCAGGTCAGCTGTGTCAAGGTGCCTTACGTGGACACAGTTCTGGGGTGGCAAGGTCGTTCCTACGTGCAGGAACATGAGCACACAGAGATGCTCATTGCCAGGTTTGTGATACTGTGTTTGCGAAGAAAGTGGAAACACCCCAGTGTCCTACAGCAGGAAATGAAGTAAGCAGAGAACATCATGTCCACACGGAGCAAGGCCGAAGGGCAGGGACTCGGCCCTGGCCACCCGTCAGAACCGCTAGCCGGACAAGATAGGGGTGCCGAGCTCCACCCCCAACGGGAATTCCTGGGGGGCGGGGACCCGGCATCCGTAGTTTTAAGGGCACCACGGAGTCTAGCTCCCAGCCAGGCTTGAGGGCCGCCCTTGTGAATCCAGCCAACAAACGCTGTAGATCTATCAGATGTTGGCGACATCCCACTAAGTAAAAAAGCAGGTTACGACCAAACCATATATGGAATGTGATCCCATTTCTGCATCAAAGGAAAAATGTGTGTTTCCACGGCTAGAAGTGTGAGAACATTCCTAGAACAAAGCTGCAGAAGACGCACACTGACATGTTTGCTGCGGAGAGTCTCGGTGCTAAACCTACACGTCTAGATTTTCCTATTTAGGGCAATTGTAGGAAAAACAGGAAAGCATACACATGTATACATTCTAATGCTTCTTAATTAAAAATAAACAAAGGATTTCTTTTTACATTTTAAGAAAGGCGACTTGAGAATCTGGTGGCCTCCCGTCCTGGTGTGCTGCCCACCCACCCAACAGACCTGGGCGAGGTGTTCTGCGGCCTTCAAGGGCTCCCTTATTCCCAGTCTTCTCTGGGGGAGCAAACCTCGCAGTGATTAGTGATCCCCCACTAGGAAGCTCACGTCACATTGGGTTTGAGTGCTGGCCATGACTATGGAGAAGGGCGGGCACCCCGCTGGGCTGCGGAGCTGCTCAGCAGGGGAGCTGGAGCCCCCTCAGCACCGCTCAGCAGCCTCATGACCAAGACCGTGTGGGCCGTGTGGACGAAGGGGCTCGCAAAATAGCGCGGCTCTGGGGCAGGGCCGGCGAGGAAAGACAGGTCCCTGGCAGGTTCGGCCCCTGAAATCCAGGGCTCCCAGAAGCCAGCGAGAGGAGGAGGTGCGGCATTAGCGGGGGAGGGAAAGGTGCCCCTGGTTCCCGCGTGAGACAGCGGCGCAGAGAATCTGCCCCTGCGCCCGGCGCTTGCCAAGTAGGCACAGGGGCTCTAGACTCCGCGGGACTGACGGGAACAAGGACACTTCTCTATCACAACCACGCTTTTTAGCTGGGATCTACCTGGCACTCTGTGAAACTGCCTTTTTTCTTTTCTTTTATCCTTTTCTCTGCATACCAAACTTAATCTATTAATTGGGAGTTTTAATCCAAAAAATTCATCAGAAGGTCTTCCGTTGCCATAGCAACCGTGCAGGCACAGTAAATGCACGTCTCCGGCACAACACAGCCGTCTCTTCAAGCCCGCACAGCAGCACGGCCAGCAAAGTAATGCAGCCCCCGTCCGAAGGGGCTGGGGGGCGACTTCACACCCGGCCTGGAAGAGAGCTGGGGTTCAGGGGCCACGGCCTGCCCCCAACTCACCTTCCTCCGTCCCAAACCCCATTCCCTATTCCTTAAATAAACCCACGGCCCTCTCTGCAAGCTTGTGCCGAGACGCTTGAGCCGTAGGTGCCCTGACGATGACACGCACACGCGGGACAACGTGGCTGTCCAGCCAGATGACGCGGACAGGTGCCGCACCCAAGCTCACCAAACAAAGCCCAGATAAGTCCCGACGGTGGGTTCAGTTTGGGGATGTGGCTGCTGTGCCAAGTGATCAGCAAGTAACTGATGTCACATGTCCTAAAGAGCAAGGACCTGTAGCAGAGTCAGCCCCCCCCCCACCTCCCGAAGCAGCTGCGGCCTCGGCCATCCCACTCCAGGCAAATACAGGGGTTGGGGGATGCGCCGAATAATTCTCAAATCAGATTGTGAGCAGCATCAACAGATTCTGTGCTCTTTTTGCCTTTTTAATGGTCCGTGACATCTGAGACATAACACACTGTGAGCCAAAAGAAAAATCCCACGTTAAAAAGCTGAAGGCAGCGCCCGTGCAACGTCAATTTCTCTACCTCCACGTTCTCTGCCTCTGAGAGCACAAGGCTAAGGCATGGAAAGTGTGGCCAGCTCTTGGCCAACACCAGCGAGCGCGGAACTCAGATGTGTTTCTCAGACATTTTCTCATCGTGCAGCCAGAGAAGCTAGCCGTCAGTCTGCTTCCTGATCAGTTCCTAATGCACTCTGAGCTTTCCTTACTCGGAATATTTATGTTGAAAACAAAAATGCATAACATAGGAAAGAGTCACAGCACTGAGTTCTGCTGCCCCAGGGCTGAGGGCACAATGACAGCAGACCCAGAACACACTGGACTGATGGGGCGGTGCGGAATGCCCCTCCCCTGCTGACCGTGACCACGCTCAGCAGCCTGGCACCCCCTGGGCAGCCCACGGCAGCCTCTCCGTCACTCCGATGACCACCCGCACACGGCCCGCACGCTCACCACCACTGAGGCCTGAGGTCGTACTACTGTGATTTCCTATTATGCTTAAATTATTTATCACAATAAATAGTTTGGGCTCCTGTGTTGGGCTGTGCTCTAAAATTATAAATTATAAAAGACCTCTGCAGGCTGCCTACAGATGAAAAAATGCATATTTCAACTATTTTAAGAAAATGTCAAAAAAACATCAAATGTGTCATCATTGTACCATTTAAACTCTCTCCATGACATCCGTAGAAAAGAGCTGTATGTTTGCGTGCGAATGTATCCCAGTGCCCCAGAGGCAGACCTTCCCTGCAGGTAGCTGCCAAGTGAAAGGTGGCCTGTCACGTGTTTGCCATGGGCACCTGTCTCCACGTGGCCACTCAAGAGATACGGGTGGGTGGTCTGGGTCAGCAGCTTTACCTGCAAGAGGACCTGAAAGGAAACTCTCAAAGGGAGTTCCCAAAGGGCAGGTCTCTGCACAAAGGCAAAGCCATCTCCACCGCACATCTGAGCCCAAAGGTTGGGCACGTGGGGGCCACACCACACTGTCAGCCGCAGACTGAGAGCTCCCGGGGCCAGGGACCCCCCCCCCCACACCTGTGGGGCAAGCATCTTCCTTCGCAAAAGCGGCACACCACAGCTGCAGAGTAGACCAAGCCTGCACACCGCCCCTAAAAGGAAAATGAACACATGCAGCCCTCGCCACAGTGGGTGGCTAAGCCCGCACCACTCCGACCATGGACCCTCCCCCCGCAGGGCAGGCCCGAGCCCACTCCCGCCGCTGCGCCGCCACTGGACACGGAGGAGGCAGGAGGGAGCCCTGGATGCGCGTGGGCACCGCAGGCAGCATCCGCGAGTTTCCTCGGAAACCGAGACGCCCCGGGATGCCTTCCCACCCGGGTGGTCGCGGTGTCTGGACGCGAGGAAATCCTACCGCCGCGGCCCCTCTGCGAGAGCGCGCAGAGCGCCCATGCGGCGCGGGTCCCCACGCTGTCCCCGGGAGCGGCCCGGGGCCCCCGCCGTGCGGCCGCGCTCACCGTCCTCCTTGTCGTCAAACACCGGCCTCCGCGCCGTGGCCGCCGACATGGAAGAGCCCATTCTCTTCCTCCACTTGCTCCACG